GTGTGCCATGTATGACAAGAACGTGATTCAGTATTTGGAGCCAGCCAGTTGTGTGAGCCGAGTTCTTGAGGTTGGTGGAACAAAGCAATCTCGGGAGTTGACATTAGAGAAAGGAAGTTTGGTGCTCAAGAATCAAGATCATCTCACGAGTGCCACTGATAGTGAGATAAAGCTCCATCATGCATTGTTGAGGCGGGGTATCGCTTTAGAGTTTGCAAAGTTGATGAGCCACGCACAGCATGCCGAGTGGGTTACATTTTTATTTGAAGCACTGCGCAGAGAGCCCCCACCTGGCTATGCAAAATCGAGTTTGGGTCAGCTGATCCAATGCGACAAGGCGGCGTGGGGAAGATTGGCGAGTTGCATTCAGGACATCAGGCAGGATGCTGCAGGACATTATCCTCTTGGTGTTGCATTGTTGAACCTACGACATGATCCTTACATTGCTTTGTATGTGAGCCCAGTTGCAAAAGCCAGTGCAAGTTCAAGTGATTCATGGAACAGAAGGTCAGTGCCCTATACAGCTTCAACAAGCGATCGTGGAGGCAAGGCAAAGGGCAAAGGAAAGAAGGGAACAGGAAAAGGAAGCAAAGGATCACCAGTCATGCCAAGGGACCTTCACGGCAAGTGGCATCGTACCCCACAAGGAGATGCCATATGTTTTGGTTACAACACCACAGCAGGATGCAATGAGAAGGGAATCAAGGCAGGTGAGCGATGCAAGCGTGGACTTCACGTTTGTGCCGAACCGAAGTGCCAACAACATCATAGTTTACAGGAGCACGGCAAGTGAGAGTTGTCTGCCTTTGTCCCCCGCATTTGGTCGCGGACGAGTGTAGGACAGGTGTGGATGCTTGAGATTTTTGCAGGGAGCGCTGTCTTGTGTTCAGTTGCTAAGCAACAGGGTATGACAAACTCCATTGCAGTTGACAAGGTACAGAAAAGAGGTGCACGGTCGAGTATAACCCGGCTTGATCTCACACGTGAGGTTGATCGCACAGTGCTGGATTCTTGGCTGGATTCAAACCTCTTGTTTTGGGTGCATTTAGCGCCCGTGTGCGGGCCGGCAAGTCGTGCCGTGAAATTCGAGTTCATCCAACAGATCCTAAGCCTCTGAGAAGTAGTGATTACCCTGATGGATTGCCAAATCTTGAAGCGAATGATGCACTCAGAGTTCAGATCGCAAATTTATTGTTTGACGTTGCACGCAAGGTTTTTGACAAGGCCTCAAGACGAGGTATTTTGGTGACATTGGAAAATCCAAGAAATTCACATTTCTGGGCAACTTCGTTCTTCATTTCCTTATGGAAAAAGACAGACCTTTTTTGCGCAGACTTCCAAGTATGCATGTACGGTGGCGACAGGGACACGCATTTGTAGCAAACTTCAAGCAGATTCAGCAGCTTGACATCGTATGCAATCGCAGTCACAATCACGCGCCTTGGCGATTCAGTCGAGACGCAACAGGCAAACAAGTTTGGGCGAAAGCACTGGAGAGTCCGTATCCAAGGAAGTTGTGTTGGGCATTGTGCCAGTGTGTTTTGCAGGTCGCTCAAATCCATGGCCTGGTTCTATTACCGGAGAGCTTGACAGAGCTGGATCATCATCCCTTGCTTTCTCATCAAAAATCGCAGATTGCAGTCGGTTCTCAACCATCACGCAAGAAACTGCCCCCGATGGCGCCTGACTACAGTTCAGTTCTCAAAGCATGTTTGCAGGACCTTGCTCAAGTACCTGTTCAACTCCTTGCAAAACTGCCAGCCGATATTCAGTTGACATCGGTTGAAGCTCAGCCCATCAAAGTTCCAAAGGCATCGCGTTTTCTTCGCTTCTATACTCCCTCTGACTCAATAAAGGGGGGTGATGTGCAGGAGCCAGAGGAAAGTATGAGCGGCGCTGATTTGAGCTTGTGTCCAATGAGGGCTGTGTTTGGCCTGCCATGGAGCCCTGAGGACTTCATCAGAAAGGCAGCAGAGCTGGGACATCCGGCAAAAGCAGAGCTCAGTGTTCCGCAAGTTCTTGAACGTGCAATCAAACAAAATTTGGTGTGGAATGATGAGCAATTGACAAAATACAATACAGAGCAGATTGGTGTCGGCAATGGCTCAACAGAGCAAAGCAATTGGAGGCGCAGGAGCTTGAAGACCGGACCAAACGGTCTGTTCATGTTCAACAAAGCACAAAGAACAAACGGTTGATTTTGGCCGAAGAGATCCTTAAGAGCATTGAATATCCTGACCTTGAAGCTTTGGACATCTTGCGCAAAGGCTCCACGTTGGCAGGTGACATTGCTAGGTGCCCTGTCTTTGATGATCAGTTTCGACCATGCCTGATGACCTTGAAGCAGCTCGAAAAAGGTGCAGCGCAGAGAAATCAAGCTGTTTTGGCGATGACTACTTCATCAGGCGATGTTGAGACAGATTTGACCTTGTTGCAGGAGACCCGCGCAGAGCTTTCAAAAGGTTGGGCCAGGGGCCCGTTCAAGCTTCAGGATCTCCCTGAGGGAGCGGTCATCTCGAGACGATTCCCTTTGGTGCAGTCAAACAAGACTCGCGTGATCGATGATTTCTCGGTCAGTAGTGTGAACGACAGTTGCAGCATACATTCGAAGATCAGTTTGCGCATGATTGACACCCTGGGAGCGGTAACCCGCAGGTACTTTGGTTTGTGCAAAGAATTGGAAGTAGACAGCAAGTTGGTAGCCAGAACTTTTGATCTCAAAAGCGCCTACCGCCAGATTGCTGTGTGCAAGGAACACTTGAAGTATGCCTACTTTAGTGTTTACAACTGCGAGGTTGGTGCAGCAGAAATATATCAACTTCTGACTTTGCCTTTTGGAGCAACACACTCGGTGTACAGCTTCCTTTGTCTGGCAAAGATGATCCACTTCGCAGCTTGCAAAGCCTTGCACTGGATCAATACAAACTTCTACGATGACTTTGTGCTTCTCTCAAAGCCGGGGTGCAGTGCGTCAGCTGGAAACTCGATGGAACTGCTGCTAATGCTCCTTGGATGGGAGTATGCAAAAGAAGGCAAGAAGGCGACCCAGTTTGCAAGCGTGTGCAAGGCCTTGGGAGTTGAATTCGATTTCAGTCGGTCTGAACAGCGGCTCTTGACCATATGCAATACGGAGCAACGGAAGACCGACCTGATTGTCCGAATCTCAGAAATCCTTGAAGCTGGCACTTCAAGTAAGCATGATGCATTGGTTGGCAGATTGGGGCGGCTAGTGCTCAAACGAGTCGTCGAGCATGCGTACTTGCGAAACAAAGTCTTGAGTACTGAAACGATCCGTGCACTTTTGGCCATGAAGACGCGCTTGGAAGCTGGACAGCCAATGTCTGTTTCGGATAGAGACATTCCCGAATGGTTTGTTTACACTGATGCAGCCTATGAGCAGGGAACAAAGACTGGTGGTTTGGGCGCTGTCTTGGTAGACCAGCATGGCACATGCTTTGAATGGTTCGGAGTTCAATTGGAAGAATCCGCATGTGTTGCCTTTGGGTCTGCTGAAAAAGATACCATAATCTATGAGTTAGAGCTTGCAGCGGCAGTGCTTGCCCTGTCGTATTGGAAGGTGTATCTTTCCGAGAGCTTGGTGACATGGTTTGGTGACAACGATAGCGTCCGTTTTGCACTCATCAAGGCTTCTGCAACAGGTCGTTGGGCGGAAGCGTTGTTGCAATTCCACCTTGAGGAAGAGGTCAAGCTAAACACCCGTGCTTGGTTCAGTCGAGTACCAACGGAAGCAAATTTGAGCGACTACCCCTCACGACAGTGTGCCCACTTGTCGCTAAAGGAAGAAAGTGACAGATCGATGCTGGCCAGAGTTGCTTTCAAAGATTTGATCTCCTACGTTACTCGATTTGGGGACGCTCTTATTTCAAAAGGGGGTGGATCGAAACGAGACGTCCCCCTTGCTGGAAAAAAGAGAGCGCTCAGTTTGTCAAGTCACCAACCACGCTAGTGAACTATAGAGAAACCACGACCAAGCAAAAACAAACACCAAACGCAACGAAAAAAACACCAAAGGAACACGCAACCCAAGACAAATTGCGGCCACCCTGCATTTCCCTGATCCACACGTTGCGTTTTGTTGTGCCTCCTTCAACCTTTTTGATGTGTTTGCTCTAATTATGTTTGGGGGCCTTCCCTTAGGAAGGCCTTCTCTCATCCTGCTCAATAAGCCTGTGATTTTCTACCCCTTGCTGCTTTGCAACAACCCATGTTATGATGTTCTTTACGGCGTTAAAGACACTTTTTGCCTGCTCAATTGCAAACCTATCATTGGTGCACTTATATAGGCATCATTTGCAACCAGCTGCTACGGCACATTAACGATGCTCACATGGCATTTTCAAACAGTTAGGAACGAAATTCCCCCATTGCCTTTTTCGCGTGCAGAGTTTGTGTAAGGAGTTCCGAAGAAACCCCACCCGACCCCTCCTTCCCTCCCTGTTACCGGCAGATGCATAGAAACAACATGAAAACTAAACAATTGAAAGTAGACAATGGTTGGTTGGATTTGTCCAGGGCGGTGACAAAAGGATGAAGATGGTCGAAAAGGGATATCCAGGCAATTGTGTAAAGGCTGTCACTTGTAGTTTGCGCCCACAGGAGGGAACTGCAACAAAGACTGTCCGTGCAGGGTGTTTGCGCAAATTTAAGACTGTCCGTCGAGGTGGGGAGTTTATGCTCTTTGACCTTGTTTTCCTTCCCAAAGTTACCGTGTCAGAGACATTTTACATTTTGCTTGTAACATCCCCAACGCATCCCCAACAACCACAGCGCTGGGAAACTTTGGACCTTTTTCAAGGACACGCAAGAACAAGACATTGTCGGAGCAAATATGCCTGGATATGCTGTCAGCGAGTGAATCGCTATGACAGCGGTGTGCCTGAATCACATTATATATATAATATTTACTATAATTAATTGTATACTTATATCTCAGATCTTGTGCAAGATGCGCAGCGCAAAACAGTGGGTACTGTGGCCAGGACAATGCAAGTTTGCAGCGATTGCGGGAGAATTTGAATGAGATACCCAAGAGGCAGCCGCTCCTGGAGTTGCGAGAGTTGCGGAAACCAACGCTGGCAGGGCAAATTTGCCCTTTCCCGGAGTCAAAGTTTGCAGCCCACCATGACATGACACGTAGATTCTTCCTTTTCTGTTGCGCCATCGGTTTGGTTGAAGTCATCGTTGTTTGGTCAGTGGCTTGACTTTTGCTTTGAGGTGGTTGGCGAGAGTTGACCAGCCAGAGGAGAGACGGGGCTGTAAGGATGGGAAGTTCTGCGACACTGGGGTTTTGTGAACAGCTTGCCGCATAGGACTATTTGCTGGGCACAGTGAAGGGTGAGTGCAATTATCACTTCAAGCTTTATGCTTAGAGAGATTGGAGTTGATTTTACACGTTGGAGCCCTAGCTGTTTCAGTGAGTCACTTGGAGGTTTCGGCTTGAAGGTGGTGGATACTTCCAGGTGTCCTCTTGTTGTTACTTTTGAAGGGCCAAGGGGAGTGCGCTATTAGTTTTTGCCAGACGGGAGTTCTGGTGGCTTCTGCAGAAGCAAGTCCTGGAGGCCTTCCCGCGCAGCGCCCAGCTCAACCGCATATTGGAAGATTTTTCAGCAATCGCTCGCATTTCAACATGTTCGTACAAAAGCTTGGAGGCAAGACATTGTTTGATCATGCTTTCTACTCCTATAGCAAATTCACGCTTCCTGATCCACAATATTTACCGCAGCTGTTGCGAGCTCCTTGTGCCCGGTGAGATCCAGGCGTGCCAATTAAATTATTTGCCAGGGTTGTTTCAAGTTGCATGCGTCGGCAGGCCTGCCATGCAAGCGTTCACCAGACTCCAGGCATCCAAGATGGAGTTTGCGACGCTTCACCGCAGTAACTAGTGTTGCATTGCACCGCAGTAACTAGTGTTGCATTGCGCAAACAAGATTTTGCTTACTTTCCAAGATGCTGTTGATGGACAAAATCCTGCGCCGCTTTGCGCACTTTTTTCTTGCTGCCCTCGTTCTTCCTCGTTAACATTGGGGCCACCACAGTGAGACAATTAAAACAAGTTGAAGGTCCAGCATCCTGCACCGCCTTTTGAGAGGGGTCGCGCCAACATTGAATGAGGGCGCGCGGGGGTTGCTCTGCGACCCTTCCAGGGTAAAGGGTGAGGCGGTGCAGGATTTCGTCCATCAACAGTACCTGACACAGGGCTGCGCCAAGCAGACAGCGGAGGGCCAACGCAGCACTTTAAAAAAATCGCGTGATGCCGATGGCAGGTAGAACAAACTTGTGAAACCAGTGACGTAGGGCTGTGCCATGCAGACAGTGACAACAACAACCTATAGAAGAAGAGTTGCGCCGTCAGTAACAAGAGGCAAAGAAGGACACATGGGGCGGGGGACAGCAAACAGGGTAGAGCGCCATCATGACCTGGAGCGACCATGGCTATGTCTCACGCGCAAAGCTATGCGGCCGGGGTCTGCATGGCAACACAGTGCTCCACAGTGCCCGGACAGTGCTCCAACACCGCTCCAGACAGTGCCCGCGCACCAAACCTTGTAAATACTGTGGGTATGGTCACAGGAATTGCAAGTGAGTCAAAAACCACAGCCTAGACTCTAGAACTCTAAACCTCTATCGTTTTGCATTGCTACTGCCCAAATCGCTTGTATTTTCCTTGTTTTTGACTTCCGAGCACTGTTCTGAGCACTGCTGGAGCACTGTGCACTTCCCCCACGACATCCCTTATCACGTGACAGCAAAGTATAGCAAACACCAACAAAGGACAGCAAACAACAAACGGAGCAGCAAACAAGTGGCGTCAGGCGTCAGCCATCAAGTAGGCGCAACTATCCCGGCAAGAGACCCCAAGCAGTGTAGAGTGTATATAAGCCGCACTCGAGGCACCAACGAGGAGTAGGATGAGGTGGGAAGTACTGGGTGTAACCACGCCAGGTGCACCGGATAAAAGAATAGCTGGGCGTAACCGCGCCAGGTCACCCTAGAAACAAGAGCCTGAAGAAGACAGAGGTGGAGATGTCGGGGAAGCGGTTTAGAGAGCACACATCTCGGAGCAAGCTAGAGGTCCAGAGAGCACACACCTGAGAGCACAGTCACCAGAGCGCGCATCAAGTGAGTGAATGAGTGAGCGGGCGAGAGTGAGTGTGAGCGTGAGTGAAGTGAAAGTGAGTGTGAGCGTGAGTGAGAGTGAGAATGCATGTGAATGAGACTCAGTGTGGACGTAATGAATGTGAGTGAAAGAGTGAGTATGAACGTAAGTGATATCGATAGTGTGAGCGTGAGTGAGAGTGAGAATGCATGTGAAAGAGAGTGGGTGTGGGCGTTATGAATGTGAATGAGTGAGAGAATCAGAGTGAGCGTGAGTGTGAGGGTGAGTAAGAGTGAGAGGGTGAGAGTGTAGAGAGTGAGCATCGCTTTGTGCTGCGTCTGCCACGGAATCTGCGCTTCGAGGTTCACAGAGTGCTGTGTCTGCTACGAGGTTCACCAAGCGCTGCGCCTGCCACGAAATCTGCACTTCGCGGCTCATTAGGCGCTGTACCCGCCACGAAATCTGCACTTCGAAGCTCACACAGTGCGGCGCCTGCCACGAAATCTGCGCTTCGAGGTGCGCAAAGTGCTGCGCGCGCCAGGACATCTGCACTTATTCCAGGTTCGCAAAGCGCTGCGCCTGCCACGACATCTGTACTTCGAGGTTCACAAAGCGCTGCGCCTGCCACGAAATCTGCACTTCGAGGTTCACAAAGCGCGGCGCCTGCCACGAAATCTGCGCTTCGAGGTTCGCAAAGTGCTGCGCCTGCCAGGACATCTGCACTTCGAGGTTCGCAAAGCGCTGCGCCTGCCACGACATCACGTGCAAACCGCTCCGATCCCTTGCGCCTGACACAAAAAGCCGACTTTGGACCACGAAAACACGAGGTTTTCCTTGCGCCTGCCACTTTAAAAGTGACCACCGTGTGCGAAAATGCGCGCGGCGCCGCATCGAGCGCGCAGTCGCGACAAGCAAGCGCCGCCTCCGCCCAGATTTCGCGAGCCTGGGCAGTCGAAATGCACGTCGGCGATTTTGAAAGGCATGAATGCTCTGCAAATAGCGTCAAATAGCGACGAAATAGCCGGACCCGACCACTCCGTCACCTCGATCTAGCCCCGGCGCTTAACCCCTACCGTAAGAACCCCTAAGTGTGTCCACACAGTTTGGTGAAAAAAATAACACGTCGCAACAAGCTGGGTAAAAAGCAAAGTAATGAAGCGAGACTGTGTGAGCGTGCTGCCAATCATAGCGGCCTCACGATTCAGACGATTCGCCAATTTTTGAACATCTTGAAGTAAACAAGGACCACCCACAATGTGCTCAGCAACAGCGTTGCATATTTTGCGATCTTTGTTCGCGCAGGGCGGGGCCAGTGCAACAGACCCTCCATCCTCCCAGCTCCGTCGCTGCAAAAACATCATTTTAGGGCACAGCAGTTGCCGAACTATATGAACTATTCATAGAATGGGGCAAGGCAGCGGCGCAACCTGGGAGAGGAACAAACAGGCACAGTACTCGTACAGGTTACCTTGGATTTATTCGCCGTGTTTTGTAAGCCTCCTTCTGTGTTTCTCCTTCTTTAATGATCGCCCCAACCCAAAAACTTCCCTCGTGCTGCGCTACGAGCCAGGTATCTAGAGGATCTTCAAGGTGCCACGGTCGTGTTGCTTTTCTTTTCGAGTTGTATAGGTTTACTCCAAGAGGATCGAAGAGGATTGTTCTCTAGACAGCGGTGCTCTGCAGAACAAAAGCTGGTTGTGATTGCTCAGGTACGGAAGATGGAACATCTCCTTCAGGGCAGTGAAATCAGCTCCAAGGTGACGGAAACTTGCACTGTGTGCCCACGATGTACTTGTACCTCTATCAACAATGCGCTTTCTTGATCTGGGCACTTTAGAAAACGGTGGTTATGAATGGTTGTGATGTTTTTCTCCTGGGTTCAACGTGCTTTGACCCTAGTTGAGGGACCCCAATCTGATCAGCGGCCCTTTCGAAGCCTTGAAACTTGTTGTGTTTCTTTGGTCACTCGAACTGGCCTGCCTTTTAGGCTACACAGATTGTCACCGTACGCAGCCCGCAGTTATTCCAAATAACTTACACCACAGTGCTACGCCGAAGACTCTGCCTGTCACTGGCGGCGCGCAACAACTTACAATCAATGTCACGCCCGCCGTATCAACAGCCAAGCTACAAAAAAGACATCTGCGCACCTCAGACCGAGGAACACATCCAGGTGCATCGGGTCCCCAACAAAAAGCAGGCGTTGTCCATGTTTGAACAATGCCGGGTACTGCAAAAGAAACATAGCAAAATTAGTAAGGCATAGCGCATCGTAGTTCTGCCTACGCAGCTAAGTGAGTTTTTGCTGCCGTTTCAGACGTCCACCCGCCGGCCCGCGCGCACGCACGCAAACGGAAAGGTGAAAAGACAGCAACGCTTATATTTTGAATCATCGATCGAGGGTTTGGAGGCACAAGCGGTTGATCAAACCGTCACCAAAATTCCACAGCTTCGGACTGGACCCTGAGGATCCGATATTGAAAAAATCAATATCGCAAAAATCTTCAATAATATTGAACTTGATTTTTCATTCGTAGGATTGTTTTTCAATAATTTGAAGATTGAAAAATAATCAATATCTTTGATCAATATCGACCAATATCATGATCAATATCAAGGCCAATATTACAACCAATATCAAGACCAATATCAATGTCAAAAGGAACTCCACAGGATCTCCACAGGATTCTAAACTCCACAGGAACTTTACAGGATCTCCACAGGAACTCCACAGGACCGCCACAGGAACTCCACAGGATCTCCGCGATCAGTATTGACCAATATCAATATCATGGTCCATAATATTTGAAGCCGATATTGACCAATATCATGGCCAATATTGTTTTGATCACGATGTTGAATTTTTAGGCCTCCAAGGTCCAAGGTGACCTTTTTCAATATTATTGAAAATGTTTGGTACCAGTCGGTATTTTTCAATACAGGAGGTAGGCAGCTCGGCTCCAGCCGCCCTGCATGCAGACGAAGCAGTCGTATAAGCGCCTGGGGTGTTAGTGTTGACACATTGGTCACAGGCTCCTGTTTCTCCATCCACCTTTTTTCACCGGCGCGCAGATTGTCGTGCGTGCGTGTGAAACCCTTCAAATCATACAAAACTTTTCGGTCTTTTACAGCAGGGGGGTCACCCACTTCACTGCACCGCTGCGTGCTGATATCTGACCTGATCAGCCAGACGCACCTGCTCTCGTACCTACCTGGGCGTTCCTACCTTGAACAGTTTTCTGGCCTTTGCAGCAGTTCCTTCACTGCAGTCACCAGTTCTTGGAGCTTTCAAGCAAGGGGTTGTCTCCTCCACCTGCTCAGGACCTGAGTAGCTCATAGCGAGCAGGCTCGTGCCAAAATAAAAACTTGTCGACTTGACTAGAGCTTGAGCAGGCCGAAGGCCAATAGTAGTCCATAGCGGACCAGAGCAGGCTCTGGGTAGACCGCCGCTGTTGCGGCTATCTTAAGGC